TCACCGCCATCACTGCCATCACCGCCACCACCGCCAGCACCGCCAGCACCGCCAGCAGCGCCAGCATCACCACTACCCACCCCAAGAATTCGCCTGAGTATCCTTGCCCACAGCATTCTGCCTCGTTTTCTTCCACCTGGGCCACCCTGCTGATCGGCGGGCGGTGAAAGTGCACCTCTTGCCGGACGAACTATGCTCAGGAGCGTCCGAAACTGCCACATGTTGATGAACCGCAGCCAAAGGGAAGGATGTAAATCCATTTGGGTGTCCGTGTGGCATATTCCCGAAGCCAGGTGCAAGTTGACCTGAAGACTGCCTTAGGGCTGAAGCCGGAAGCCCGGCTTAAATGGCTCAGCAAGGCAGGGCCACCACGTGAGGAGCAGCAGAAGTTGTGATTGTCTTGTGCAGGCTCTCAAGATGGTCGAAGACAGACGGGCAAACTCCACTGAGCTTTACGACATAGCCACATGGAGCCAAACTTTCCGTGTGATAGCCGGTGTTTTTGCAGCCTTTGCAGCCAAGGTATCCAATCGAAAGTTTTGTGCGACAATGCCGACTAGAAACAGCCAAAAGCTTCGCGGAGCCGTGTTTTATTTTCATAGATATAATACGCGTGATGCCTGCAGCTGAATGTCTTGGATCCCGCCTGAGGAGTTATTCTGGACAACATCTCCATTTTTTCGGAGAAGCAGCGTCGATTTCTGCGGTCAGATGAGTGGGCTCCCAACAAGCTATTTGAAGCTGAGGAGGATGACGTCGCCACCGGAGTGAAGAGTGTAGAAGAGGATCCGAAGCCTAGCCCGGATGCTAAGCCGGAAGAAGCGAAGGCAGATGCAGACAAAGATGCTCAAGGCGGCTGGACTTTCACCATCCGTGAACGACCGATGCCAGATCACACCACTGGCAAGAAGAGGCGGAAAGGTGCCGAGGATTCTGAGGCCGCTTCTTGTATTTTCAGGCTTCGCACTGCAGTCGTTAGGTAGACGCAGAATGAAGAGCCTTTTGCAGGCCCGCTTCGAGGCGATGGCCGAAAAAAACGAGGCCTCGCAGAAGAAGCAGGAGGAAGATGTTGATAGTTCTCTTGCTCTGCTGGAGCGTCTCAACCAGCAAAATCAAACTCCCCATGTGGTGCGTGAGAGGCGGGGACTTCTCAAAGCCTGCTGAGTTTGCAAACCATCGGTCCCCACCGGTGCACAAGCGACAATTCCGCACGAGGACGAGGCGAGAGCGCACCCCCAAAAAGAAGCGCCACCTGAGCCGATCAAGATCTATATCGGCTGCTTCAGTCACATCAAGTAGCCACCGCGGCAAGAAGGGACGCACAAAGAAGAGGCCGGATTTGGAAAGACAGCCGTTTTTTTTGCGGAATCGGTTGCTTCCCTGCTAGCTTCAGTGTGCCACCCTAAGGAAAGGGCGCAGCAGAAGTCGGGATCGAGCCGGAGCAGCAGGAGGAGGAGGAGGGGGAGGCGGAGGTGGGATGAGCTTTGAGGAAGCTTTACGGCGTCGAATGCAACAGCGCGATTCTGAGATGGAAACCTCAAGGCCGGCTCGAGTCTGAAAGCATGCGCTAGGGTGGTCGCATGGCTGTGACCTGGCCTGACAGGATGCCAGTGGTTGACCCCGGGCATGCCAAAAAGAATTGGAGATGATTTGCATCGCTGACACTGGTGCTAATTGTTTTCACTCATTCGGGAGGAACAGCCGTTATTCGGTGGCTGAAAAGCTTAGCTCGCGGTGACATCGGAGCAGTACAAGAGCAATGGAAGTTATCTGACGATCTCAATATAGTATTCAATATAATAAACAGAACCTGGCTTTTTGGGATATTGTAGTGAGCACTGTCGCCAGAGCAAGTCTTTTCTTCATGTCCCTGCTCCAACGGATCGATAGCAGACTGGATGTGCGAGATGCAATGGGCCCGGAATTAGAGCCCATCGTAATCGCTCAGATCGCTCCTTGACGAGATCAAAGCCCTGAATCCCGGTGCCTTGTAAAACAGCATTGCAGATGCTGGCATGACTTGAGGGCCTGTACAACCGGTGCCAGGGCATGATGGAAGAGAATTGCATGGGTTGTTGTCTACGCAACCGTGGTGCTACGTAGATTGTGAGTCGATGCCGCGAAGTCTTTCGGTTTCTGCATGACCAGCCGGCTGAATTTGGGCTCTAACATTTGTTGCAGCCACGAGCCGCAGACAGCTGAAGTTGTTATTTGCATCCAGCATCACCAGCTTTCGCAACGGTACATTGCTAGCTACTAGTGACTAGTCCCACTTCGGAACGAGTTTGGATTTGTCAGAGCACTTCAATGAAGGATGCCTTCGCAGGCTATAAGCTATAGACATTTGCAAGCGAACAGGCAAGCAAGCCAGCAAGCAATGCCAAACGTGAAGATATGTGGACTACCGTGAGCTGGCTTCAATGTTGCCATTCCTTGAACTGTCTGCCTAAGTGATTCTTCGAGATTCTGCCATAGTTCCCACTACAGAAACAAAGGGGCATGTACACACATGAACAGCGTGTGTAAGCCTCTTGCCAGGGGTGTATGTTGATGTGAGCCACGAGGGTCGAACACAGGCTTTCTGCCATGCCTCACTGAGGCTGCATGGCAGACTTAGCTTCAGTTCTTAAACCAGGCTACGCTGCAAGACAGCAGTTTGAAGCCCAGTTGCTCCCTTCGGCAACGATTGGATAAGAGGGATGGGCCATCCTGGGCGGATAGGCCAGGCAGATGACTTTTGAAAACCGAGCAGCCAGGTTCTCCGGTGGAGCATGGCAAGGGTCAAGCCAACATATACCTCTGAAAGAGGATCAAGGGGCAGGGCCGGCATGAAGTCAGGCAGACGAAACGGAATCAGGGCAGGGGAACAATGCTCAGAAGAATTGTCAAAAGAAGAGGGAAACGACGCTACTCGCTTCTCAAAGGCTTGGCGAAGGTTTTTTTCATGGTGTGATGATGTTGATGTGATGCTTTTATACTATCATGTCGACGTGAGGTTGTCGCTCTCGGGTTGTCTTGGGGCTTCATGACATGACGTGAGGTCTTCCAGGGGTTGGCCCTTAGGTTTTGGTGAGGTTGGTCGGCCCTTTTGTTTTTGTGAGGTTGCCCCTTAATCTCTTAAATCTAAGTCAATGCCTATTAACGCACATGGCAGGGCTAGCGGGAGTCGTTGAACATCGTGAAGTGGTGCTGCACGTTTGGTGACGTCACGAGTCGTCCTCCTTGCCGATACCAGCGTGTTCAGTCACGCTGCAAAATGACGCCGCGTGTGTGGTGCCGTGACAATTCGTCCTCCGAATCGAAAGCCTTCTCGGTGACCCCAGCTGCGCATTCTCCGGTGAAGGTGATCTGTTTTTCATTCCATGGGCCTCACATCTGCCTCGAAATCCCTCTCCTTGGACGTGTTGCACATATGGTGCCGTGTTGATTTTCACCTCGAAAATAACTGAATCCCACCACACATATTGGTCATGTCTTTGAAGGTTTGTATAGGTTTGTAGAATGGCTTACTTAACATGAGGATTTCAAACCGTCACATGTTCCGTGTTATACTGCTTGCCTGTGCTGAAGGAGTGCTTACTAGAGTTTAGAGACGGGCTTATATAGAACGGTTTACAAAAGGTAGAGAAGGAAGAGGGATGCATAGATTGGTTTACCGGCGAGTTTAGGGAAGGATTTATGAAGGAGATCGCAGATGACTATAGAAGGGTTTCTAGAAGGGTGAATAGAGAAGTTTACGACGGATGGACGGATGGCTGGTTGGCTGGCTGGAGATGGATGGATGGATGGATAGATGGATGGGTAGGTGAATGCATGAATGGACGGATGCATGGATGGATGGATGAACGAATTAATGGATGGACGGATGGGGAAAAGCGGATGGATGGATGAGAACCTCGCTGCTTTACACGACTTCGGGACACTCGTTCTCCGTGTTTGATGTGGCCATCGACCGGGTCTTCCCGCATCTTGGGATACATGCTGCACTCGATCTTTGCGTTGCGGCATGCGGGGAGGCGGGTGGCAGGCATTGGCGTTGCCTTCCCTCCTCAAAGAAGACCACGCAGGGAGAGAGATTGGTGACTGAAGCGTTTGAGAAGGGGTGTACGCAAAAGCATGTGCATTCATAATGTCGTTTTGTATGTGATGAGGGACATGAGGAGGGCTGGCTTCAGGAAATTGCCGAAAGAAGCCGCCAAGAGACTGGAGCTGCTCCGCCGGAGTGGTCGCCAGACGCTCGAGCGGGAGATGTATGAGGTTTACACAGACATGCTGAAGAGGAACGAAGACATCGGCATGTCCGAGATGGACCTGCAGGGGCCAACCAGCTTTCACACGAAGATGGACACAATCCGGCCTCAGGTGCAGCAACTTCTCAGAAGCAACCGTCGATCTCGTTTCAAGGGTTGAACTGTAGGTATCAGGACTTTCCGACATTCAATTGTCAAGTCTTTATTTGTAACTTTGACTGGCCCTTCAGGTGGAGCAGCAGTATCACACCGCCAACAAGCGACTGGCAATTGCCAAGCGCATAGCTGGTTCAAGCAAGCAGCCGGATGAACTCCTCAAGTCCAAGGAACTTCTCAAATCCGAGTTGGAAGCGGTTGAGGAAGCTCAATATGCTGCCAGAGCGTACACCCTGATGGTGCAGTTGTTTGCGAAGGTGATTGACAGAGTTAGCAATGCAGTTGCCGAGAGGGAGGCGCAGAAGAGTATAAGGCCCGAGTTCGTCAGTTCCATTGGCTGTCAGTGCCACGGCTTAACAGCACGATGGTTTCTCTGATGTGTCCTTTCTGCCGCAAAAGCTCTAGTAATGGCGTTTGAGCAGTTGGCCCTTGCCGCAAACGGCATTTGATGGCTTTTCGACCGGCGTGCCTGGACCCGGAAGAGCGTGTTGTCGGGGATGCTGAAAAATATTCGTTGCATGTTCCATCAATTCCGAGGACCATTGCTTTTGCTGAGAGCGGACATCAAGTCCCCAAATGTGCAACACATAGCCGTAAAGAGGAACTGCTAGAAGCCGGGGAAAATCATAGCTGACGGCCAAAGTGTGCTTCGCATTGCCAAGCCTACCATCAATCCCTCGTGACAAGTGTTTCCGTCTTAGGTACTTAGTCAGGTACTTCAGCAAGAAAGGCAGAGGCCAAGTAGAAAGCCAGGGGACACACGTGGATGAAGCGTTGCGAGGGTCAACGTGTGGCACAGGAAGGGTATCTTGTACCGCCTTTGCATATGCTAGTCGTCTAAGAGTCTAAGACTTTCTTTAGTGAAGTTTCCTGTATAATGTCTCATCCTGCATCACTGGTTGCAAGTTCAGGAGCGAAGAGGCGACCACCTTGCCACGACCTCCCAAACTGGGCATTTATGCACCTTTGGATCGTGATGCCGTGATGCCTTTGGACATGACCCCTGAAGAGATGGAGAGCATTCAGCACACAGAGCTCGCCTACAACGTCATGCGCGATCTGTGCCAGAAAGATAGGCTTTGCATCTACCAGGTTCCCCGGCTTGTGCAACAGGCTAGGATGGAATAGAACTGTTCCGTAACTTCTTAAAGCTTGTTTTGTGCGTTTCTCACTGAGCTGGTGATGTTGCCCACATCCTGGCAGGGCCTTGAATCTCTTGCGTTTTGGCCTTTGTTCTGCAAGCTGACTCATGTAGGTCAGACATGGTTGTCATGGCTGGAGCAGGCAATGCTTTATGTTTCCTGTTGGGAAATGGATCTTTGAGCTAACAGGCTTGCCAGATCAGTGCCAACGAAGATGCCTTCTTGTGACGTGTTGGGAGATGCCCCCAAGCAGGATTTGAAGTGAAAGCAATGCGGCTGTCCTGAAGCTCATGCTCGAAGGTCCAGGTCGCATGACGTGACGGATGTGCATCAGCCGATTAGCCCGTCGGGCCGTTTCGGCCATGAGAGGGAATGATGGCTTGTGTCGCAAGAAGGACCTCGACTCTCGCATCACCGTTTCGTAGATGAGTCTGTTGAGTCGGTGTCCTGTGGTTTTCTATCATGTGCACTGGATGCTGGGGCGGTGGGGGGTTCTTTCTTGGATGGTGACTCTCATACAAGGCAGGCCGGCTCAAAGTCAACTCGTTTGCTTACATTACATGCAAGAGCATTCTGTGACAGCGTGGCGATGTGCTACATTTAATGTTGTGTGTCTTAGCATATAGTTTCCGTGGCAGGCTGTTGTTGTGGTAGACCTGGAGTTTGCTGTAGTGCCGTAAACTTGGGTAGTTGATGCTTGTTTTTCACTTCCTAAAGGCGCGCTTGGAGATCGAGTCGTCGCATGTTGTATAGTCAAGTATAGGCATTCACAAAAAACCTTGACAATGCATGCGTTCTTGACATTGCATGGGGCCTGCCCAAGGTGTTGCAGTTTGAGGACTGGATGAAAGAGGAAAAGACCAGCCTGCAGAAATGCCTCCCTAGCAGAGAGAGGATATTGCGGATGGCAGCTTACAATCGAATCGTGCGGTCGTTCAGATCGAGCCACTTCAATGAGGAGTTGCAAGCTCACAAAATCTGGAGAATCACGAATCTCGCAGAATACTACGATCCACCAGGGTCAGGCCAGGTGCCAGACTATGAGGGCCAATTCTCCATGTTTGCATTACCGGTTGGCTCCGAAGCCAGGGAGTCTGAACAGCCTGATGCCCTAGAGAGTCGGGATGTGGATGATTCTCAGAAGCCGGATCAGCAATCCGCAGCCATGGGTGCTGGACACCACAGCGGTTCCGCTATCCTTGCAGAGGGTGCTGACGTACTGGATCAGGAAGCGGCTGCTCAAGACAGAGAGGCCGAAGGGGTTGGACTGCTGGAAGGAATTTGCGTAGTCTGCATCGAGAAATCCGCCCTCTTCGTCATGCATGAATGTGGGCATTTAATATTTTGCCCGGGCTGCCGGCGCAAGGCAGTCGCCAAAGCCTTGAAAGAATCCGGCAAGAGTCAATGGAAATCAGTGAAGCCAGGACAGTTGTCGAACAAGGAGTTGGAGCGGACAAAGGTGCGGTGCCCTATTTGTCGTGAGGAGAGTGTGGCCGTCGCACAGAAAAAGTTCAGCGGCAAAGTGTACACTTGAAGATCGTGTCTTCGAAGCTCACGTTGGCTAAGTCTCTCCAGCACTCGTTTTTGAATGACATGTGAGACTTGAGTGGTGTATCTGGTTTGAATGTTTCACCAAGCAGTTCCCACTGCAATCATAGTTGGCCCGGAGCCAGTTCATGATGCGTGAAAAGAAAGAACGTGTCCTTGCATTCCGAAAAGGCACTTGATTTGCCGGTGATGTTCGCGTGTAGGAACGGTCCTTGTAACTGGCAGGCGACACTCTGTTGCGGTCTCAGTTCATCCACTGAACATGGTGGTTGCATTGTGACCATATCCAGACACCGGATCCGTGCACCGACTCAGTTGAGGCGTCTTCGATTTCTGAGAGTGGGCAGCAGCACCTGGCCGGGCAGACTAGTCTACGGACTATCCAGAGTCTACCCTAAAGTTGCCGTGGGTCTGTCGTGTTTTGAGCTACTTGGAACTCGCAAAGGGCATGGCAAGCTTGCGTGCCCAGTGGATGTTGGAAAATGCCACGCTTCTCCTGCGTGCTTTCCTGAACTTTTGGCACGGACCTGCTGGCGGTGGATGTAACAGCAGATGTTTCGAGGCCTTGCAGAGCCAGTGCTGCCGGGAGGCATGCTGCTTTTGTGCCGGCCTTTTCGTCATTATTTGATGTCGAGTTTCCAGTCTCAGATCTCTAGGCCTGGCTCCTTCAATCCGGTGCACGAGGGCCATGAGGACTCAGAAAGGTTGCTGTGCTTTGCACGGCAAAGCAGATCACGGTGCACCTCATTTGTCGTAGGGCTGAACAAGGCCTGTGCAGGGGCAGGATGTCGGCAGGAAGGAATGATTCGAGGCAGTTGCATCGTGCTTGGGTCTGGGGTTTGGGTGTGTGGTCGTCGTCATCGTCGTCGTGGGGCTCGTCGTCGTCGTGGTTCCGGGGCATTACGTGGGATTCCGACGATGGGTCTGAAGCCTCTGCAATGCCCGACGGCATCAAGAGCTGGCTACGACACTGCACATACCTGCATGCACAAATTCGCGACTGTCGCATTCTGCACGAGGTCGCAATCTCTATCGAATTACAGAAGTTTAAATTTTTAGTGGAACAGCCATCCAATAACAATTAAGTCGTCCTTCTCGTCCTGGTCGGTGTCCTTGTCGTCGTCGCCGTGGCCCGGGTCCTCCTGATGGTCGTCGTCGTCACAGTAGTCGTCGTCGTTGTTCTTGTCGTCGTCGTCGTGGTCCTCGGCTTCCTGCGCTGCACGCTTGTGTAAAGGGGGTGTAGATGCATCTTTGGACGGCCTCCTTTGCCTGCCCGTGCGGGACCGGTTTCGGCCCATTCGCGAGCAGAAAAGCCTCCTTCCACCCCCTTGCTCCGTGGTAGTTGCTGTTGCACTGGTCGTTTGCTTGCTGTTGCTGCACCCGTTATTCCCAGTACCCGCAGTCGAGATCAGTCGAGTCCCTTGTGAAAAAAGGCTTGGGCTGCCTTCGTAAACCAGGCTGCATCACGCCGCCGATTTCATTCGACACGCCATTTCTTCGCCTCCCTCCCTCTCCCTCTCTCATTCTCCCTCGCTCTAACTTTTTCACCTCGTCTCTGCCCCGTGACGTCACTTGTTTAGTATCTTCTTTCTGCCAGCCTACGTTCTGCTGCCGGCGTTTGGCAGCAGGATCTAAGAGAAAAGTGGAAGAACAGGCTTGAGATGCACTAAGGTGACCTGAGCACGAGTCACGCAAAAATGCACAACTGCGCAGGGCAAGGCAAGTAAACGGCACCAGGCAGCATCACTTTGTTGCAACGGCGGTCCGAGGAGGAGAAGGAGGAACAGCCCCGAATAAGTTTGCCTATGCATGCTTCGAGCCCATGAATCCACGCCCAATGTTTCGAATCGGGATCTGTGACATGCTGCACAAGCTGAGTGCTTGGATGGCATCCATGTGTGCAGCCCATCCTATCCCAAGACACCCATCAGCTTCCGAAAATTGTTTGAGTATTGATTTGTGTTGACAAGAGCCACAGCCGGTGAAGACGGACACATCCGCACGGGCCCGACATTTAAGTCGTTCTTCGCTACGAAAGTGGGTGCCAGACACTGATGGCACACGCACAATCCCCCATATGTCGCGAAATGCACCCCCCGTATTGAGCCACAGAATCTGTGTGAAGACCGAGTGGAGATTTATGAAAAAGTTCGTATTGCTGTATTGCTAGGCTGGGTTCTGCGGCTAGCATTTGGATCGCATGCAGCCTTGCACTTGCACTCGGACCCTCAAATCACCATGCGCATCGTCCCCGACCCAACCAGGAGATGGGCAAAGAAGCTGCTAAGATGCTGGGAAGGCCTGGTGCATCTTTCCTCATACCAAATTGCAACTCCAATTTCGCTCGAGCTATGGAGACGGTAATTGACATGTCGAGGCCTTGCAATCATGTGTTGCTGGAACTGAGTGTGTCAGTCTCAGATGTGAGGCGGCACTGATCAGTTAATTTTAAACGCTGCGCGTCGTCCGCCTCGGCCCGGCCGTATGTTGGGAGGAAGACATGATGCCAGGTCTGAGGCTTTTGCTTTCGCAGGATATCGGGGTGCAGCGTCTGCGGGGTGAAGAGTGATAGGGTTTGTGCATAGACAAACTATATATAACTATATATATATATATATATATATATACATATATATATATATATGCTAGCC